GGTCATTAATGTTAATCATCTGTGTCTCTTATTTTAGCTCCAAAGTTTTCCATCTTTTTGTGTTTTTGCTCTATATGATGGGATATTTCCTTAGCTTGTTCTCCCATCCCTTCTAATGATATGATTTCAAATTTCAGTAATCATGCTTAGTTTTTAAGAGTTCTTTCTTGTTTTCTTGGTCTCTCTTACTTCATGGCAATCTGCTCTTTATGGATTCAGTAATTTCTCTAATCTAGGCATTAAAGGCAGTTTTTCATCTCTTAAAGTTATTTTCTATTCCCGAAGTTATTTCAGCTTTTTTGGGGTCACTTTGTTTATTTGTCTTGACCTATCTCCTTTGTGCTGGCGATTTTCTAAATGTGTGAGGATCTTTGGTTCTCTGTTATAAGAACCAGAAAATAAACTGGTTGCCCTGGATAGCTATTGTGGCTTTTCTCTGCTATAGCCTTCCAGGAAAAAGCAGGACAGCTTCCCAGGAGCTCTCTGTGAGTGGGCCATGCTTTGCAGTTGCCCTTTAGAATGCGCAGGTCGGGGCATGGATGGTCAAGGACATTTCTCAGGGAGCTGTGTGTATGGGATGGGTCTCTGAGAATGGAGAGCTTTATGAGTTCAGGCTGTGGAATCAACATCTACACAAGCCTAGATCTGAGAAGCCCAACCACACTCACTGAAAATGAAGAGTTTACATGCAGAATGAGTCTGGGGAGGCAGCACTAGAATGTCTGAAAGAGGACTAGAATCAGACTGATTTCAGAGGGACCGATTCCAGAGGGACCAGTGCCATGACTCCATGGGGACATTTCCATGGGGAGCCACAGGAGGTTTCACTGGAGAGTTGTGTATGTCCAGCGTCTAGGAGATGCTTACCATGGCTGAGCTTGCAGGTCCTCTTAGGACTGTCCGGGTGAGAGGTCTGAGTCGTGATGTGGGTTTGGAGAGGTGTCCAGCTGGAGTTGGTGGGGCTGGCCCATTAGCTCTGGGGCAGAGGCTCAGGGAGGTGGGCAGGCAGGCAGGACACAGGAGTGCTAACAGCAGCCACAGCTCTGCAGGGCATTTCCCACCCATAACAGTGTGGAGAGCCGTTCTCATCTCAACTCATTTCTCAGCACAACAGCTCCCGAGGCAAACTTCCTTCCTAGCTTGCTTTGCAGGTGAGAATCTGGGGCACTGTGAGACAGCTTCCATGTCCAGCTTGAGACCATTCACCACACTGACTCTCAATGTGGTGAAAGCAACTGCGAATGGGCGTGATTCCAAATCCCAGCCAATCTGCTGCAAGGAGGGTAGCTGGGGTCTATCCAGCCCCTGACTAGCTGATCTTCAGCTTCCTCAAAGGACCAGGGGGAATACTGACCATGCAGTGGACTGAGGGTCAGAGGGGTCATCTGGAGCACTGCGCACACCTGAGGCACTCGTGCTCCTGTCTGACTTCCACGTGATTCATGAGGAACATTCCTGATGGGGTGGGAAGGGAACCTGTTACTAAGCTATTAGGAGGGTCAGTCTCCAGTAAGTCACACCAGCCAGCCACTTTTATGGCAGAAGGACAATCCTACCCCGCCCCTTCCCCAGAGATGATGGAATGCAGCCTGGCTGACCGGCAGAGCCTCTCAGGCTGGGCTCTGGGCCCTGGACTCCAGCAAGGGAGAAGGACAGCAGCTCCCACTTCTTGCTTAGAGTCTCTGGTTTCTTGGGGAGCTTCAAGTGCTCTGGCTATGACTGGTGCAGGGCTCTGCTGCCTCCAGGGGGTGCTGTCTCCTTTCCCTAGCAGAGGCAAGGGTCTGGCAGCCAGCTCTGGGAGTACTGGTTTAACCTGGACTGTCTGCTAGGAAGAGCTACCTACCTCTCTCCCTGACTCTATGGTCCTAAAGGAAGAGCTTGGACCTTGGATCGAAAGCCCAGCCCTGCTATCCACAAGTTGGCTGGCTGAGACAAGACACTCTGCTTCTTTGAGGCTCAGTTTTCTCGCCTGTGAAATGGGATGAGCACATCACACCAGTTAGGCATGAGGATGGAATAAGGGCAGGTGTAGGTGCTTCTGCTTGGCATGGGAGCTGTTTGCTGCTTTTACCACCCTTTCAGCTCTTCCACTGTTCTCTGACCCACAAGAACTAGGGCTCAAGCCACATGCCTTGGGCAGTAGTTCTCAAATGCGTCTATGTGGAAGCTTGTCTCCAAGGGCTCACCAGCAAGTCCAGACTCCATACAGCTGCCCTGCAAGAAGGAGGTGACAGCGACTGAGTTCTTGCCTGCACAGAGGACAGGTGTCCATAGAGCTCCCAGCTGTAGTTGACTGGTTTCTGGTGTTCTCTGATTTTACACGTCTGGAAGCTACCATCTCAATTAGGTCCACTTAAAAGTCTCCCCCCATCTCCCTCCCTCCCTTCCTCCCACTCTTCTTTCCTTCCTTCCTTCCCCCCTCCCTTCTTCCCTCCCTCCCTCCCACTCTTCTTTACTTCCTTCTCTCCCCCATCTCTCTCCCTCCCTCCCTCCCACTCTTTCCTTCCTTCCCTCCCCCTCCCTCCTTCCCTCCCCCCCACTCTTCCTTCCTTCCTTCCCTCCCCCCTCCCTCCTTCCCTCCCTCCCACTCTTCTTTCCTTCCTTCCCTCCCCCATCTCTCTCCCTCCCTCCCTCCCACTCTTCTTTCCTTCCTTCCCTCCCCCTCCCTCCTTCCCTCCCCCCTCCCTCCTTCCCTCCCCCCACTCTTCTTTCCTTCCTTCCCTCCCCTCCTCCCTCCCTCCCACTCTTCTTTCCTTCCTTCCCTCCCCCCTCCCTCCTTCCCTCCCCCTCCCACTCTTCTTTCCTTCCTTCCCTCCCCAACTCTCTCCCTCCCTCCCTCCCACTCTTCTTTCCTTCCTTCCCTCCCCCTCCCTCCCTCCCTCCCTCCCACTCTTCTTTCCTTCCTTCCCTCCCCCCCCACTCTTCTTTCCTTCCTTCCCTCCCCTCCTCCCTCCCTCCCTCCCTCCCACTCTTCTTTCCTTCATTCCCTCCCCCCTCCCTCCTTCCCTCCCTCCCCCCACTCTTCTTTCCTTCCTTCCCTCCCCCTCCCACTCTTCTTTCCTTCCTTCCTTCCCCCCTTCCCTCCCCCCTCCCACTCTTCTTTCCTTCCTTCCCTCCCCCCTCCCTCCTTCCCTCCCCCCTCCCACTCTTCTTTCCTTCGTTCCCTCCCCTCCTCCCTCCTTCCCTCCCTCCCTCCCACTCTTCTTTCCTTCCTTCCCTCCCCCCGTCCTTCCCTCCCCCCTCCCACTCTTCTTTCCTTCCTTCCCTCCCCCATCTCTCTCCCTCCCTCCCTCCCACTCTTCTTTCCTTCCTTCCCTCCCCCCTCCCTCCTTCCCTCCCCCCTCCCACTCTTCTTTCCTTCCTTCCCTCCCCCTCCCTCCCTCCCTCCCACTCTTCTTTCCTTTCTTCCCTCCGCCTCCCTCCTTCCCTCCCCCCCACTCTTCTTTCCTTCCTTCCCTCCCCCCCTCCCTCCCTCCCTCCCACTCTTCTTTCCTTCCTTCCCTCCCCCCTTCCTTTGTCAGATGCTGTGTGTGGTCCTGTGCTGGGATCTGGGGGCAGAGACAAGAACTATGGCTTAAAAATAGGGAAGTGGGGAGACAAGGGCGCTCATGCAGACAACCAACCAGGCTGCTACACCTGCCTTTGCATCAGAGCACGGGAGTGTGGCAGGAATTTGTCATGGCAGAGGGGACATCAGAGCTGGGGTGCAACGGAGGAGCAGCAGCTTTCCAGGTAGTAAGGCAGGAAGCAGTGTGGTCTAGAAAGAAGAGATGGTGGGTGCCAGTCCACAGTGACAGTGAGCAGAGGCCTGGGCGCTTGGCAGGTGGGTTCACATCTTGTATCTGGCTGTTTCTTGGCTGAGTGACTTTGGGCAAGTTGCTCAACTGCTGAGTCTCACTTTCCTTCATCAGCACGACAAGAATAAAAATGCCCGTCTCTCAGAACTGTTGTGATGATAACTAATGTAATGTCTTTAGAGTCTACGCACTACAAACTGCAGCTGTCCTTCTAGAGCGGCCACTGCCGTGACTTCATGGGGACATTTCCATGGGGAGCCACAGGAGGTTTCACTGGACAGGTGTGTATGTCCAGTGTTTAGGAGGCGCTCTTGAAGCAGATCTGTTGCCCTCAGGAGGTCCTCTAAGTACACATGTGACTTTGCCACGTAGAGGGAAATTATAAGCTAATGTATTCAAAACAGGAGCAGCCCTTGTAAGCATAGCTGTTCCATTACAGCCAAGTCATGTGCATCTCAGCTCCAAAAGAGAAAGTGACCATTCTCACTGAATCCTCCTGGCAACAACCTTGGGACTGGCTGAGATAAGACACACCACTTTCACGGCCCGCCCTGACTGTTCACTCACACCCTGAATGCCCATCTCCTTCCCTCACCCTGGCTGACGTTCTCAGCCACATGCCCTCCCTTGGCCTCTGGGGGCTGAATGCCCCCAGCCTCAGGGCTTTTGCCATGGCTGTGCCATCCATCTGGCCTATCGGACCCATTTGCTCACAGCATCTCACTCTTTGTAATAATTTGTTTCCCTCTTTCCTTGTCTCCTGTCTGTCTTCTCCCCCAGGGCTGAGAGCTCCAGAAGGAACCAAGGACAGGGAGCCTGTCTCTTCCAGCTCTGGTGCCCAGCAGGAGAGTTAGGCTCATAGGAGGTCTGCAAGGAATGTTTCTGAACGAACTTATGAAAGGCAGGTCTTTTTATACCCATTTCATGAGTGAGAAAACTGAGGCAGAGAGCAACAGATGCACACACCCATAGAGAGAGAAGGTGAGAGAGAGAGAGAGAGAGGGAGAGAGAGAAGAGAGAGAAGAGAGAGAAAGAGAAAGAGAAAGCATAGCTCTAGCCTGCCTATGTGCAGGGTTGAGGTGGGTGTGAGAGAGATGTGTGGGCAGGGTTGTAGCTCCGGGTATCCCTTAGGGGCCCAAAATGAGGCTCCAGGAGAGTGCTGGGGTCCCGGGGTGTGGGGGGCGGGCGGCTGGAGCTTCTTCGTGGGCGGGCGCAAGGGGCAGACTGGGCGGGCGCAGGCGAGAGCCTAGCAGACTGCTCTGCTCCGCACGCCGCCAGCAGCATCGAGGCAGCAGCAGGTGAAGCAGACGCGGCTCTGCCAGGCGCGTGGTATCTCCTGGGGACTGGAGTGCAGACGGGGGCGGGGGCCGAGTGGGCCCGGTGCAAACCCTCTGGGAAGCTGGGCCCCCTACCTCCCCTTGGCCCCGCGCAGACCGTCACACTGGATCTGGGGGGCATCCTGCCCCACTGTGGACCTCAGTCTCCTCACCTGAGACATGGGCAGCCCCATCCTCACCCTGTAAGCTGCGAACCGAGGAGGTAAGGGGTGCATCTGAGGTGTCTGGGCGCTGTGGGCATTAGGTGATAGTTGCTTTTGCTGAGATTTCAGGAGACAAAGCAAAGGGCCTTCCCTATTCCAACCCCACTGGAGATTAGCATTGTTTGTGTGATTCATTCATTTTCCTGCAGTTGGCTGGGAAGGCAGGCTGCAGGGGTCCCTGTTGGGGCTTGCAGCTGGCTCTAGTTTTTGATCTGGAGAGCTGCCTGGAGACAAAACGCAGAGACACCATTTTGCTGACCATGTGTAACAATCCATCCTCCCCCTCCTAGACTAGCCACCACCTTGGGGGTGCCTGAGGACCCTGAGGTCCCTGGTCCTCGCTGGTCAGTGTACCCTAAGCCCAGCAGCCCCAGGCAGATGCCAATCACCACCTTTTTCAGTGCTCCTCCTCCTCCTCCTGTCTTGGCCCTCTCCTCCAATCCATTTTCTATATCCAAATGATCTTTCTGGAATGTTCTTGGGCTTGCTGGTCTGGCCCACCGCTCCAACCTCATCATCTGCCACCCTGGAACCAGTTATTCTGCTTATTTTTCCCAGCAGGCTCTGCTCCTTCCTGCCGCTGTGCCTTTGTGCATGCTGTTCCTTGCACCTCGAGTTCCCTCCTCTCCCTGTCCCTTTGGCTGGTTGACTCCTCTTCAGCCTTTGAGCCCTGCACCATTGCCACCTCTTCTCTCCTCTCCCTGCTCCCTGCTCCACGATCTCTCAATTCACAGACCTCTCATTCATATTGGTGTTGGCAATGGCAATGAGTTCTTTTTTTTTGAGATGGAGTTTCGCTTTTGTTTACCCAGGCTGGAGTGCAATGGCACGATCTCGGCTCACCGCAACCTCTGCCTCCTGGGTTCAGGCGATTCTCCTGCCTCAGCCTCCTGAGTAGCTGGGATTACAGGCACGCGCCACCGTACCCAGCTAGTTTTTTGTATTTGTAGTAGAGACGGGGTTTCACCATGTTGACCAGGATGGTCTCGATCTCTTGACCTCGTGATCCACCCCCCTCGGCCTCCCAAAGTGCTGGGATTACAAGCGTGAGCCACCATGCCCGGCCAATGAGTTCTATCTGCCTTTGTGCTGCTCAGCCCCTCTGGTCTGCGAGGGCCATGGCTGTGTAAATCATCTTTCCAGCCCTTGTTTCTAGCTCAGGGCTTGACACAGATTTATTGAGTGGGTGTGAATGAAGCAGTGAGCCTTGTCTGCAGCCCACCCCGCCCAGTACTTCCACTCCGATCATGCTGTAGGTGGTCGTTTTTTTCTCCACACTGCTGGCTGAGCCCTGCTGATGGTCACCCAGAGCCTTGGGTTCTGGCCTATTTGCTGCTTCTGAGTGCAGTGCATCTGCCACAGGTTCATGCAGCTGCGACTGCTCTTTGTCTTATACTGGGCCTGGTGTTTGGCGCTGGAATAGTTTGTCATGTTCAGCCCCAAGTAGACCTTTTTGTCAGAAGACCATAGTGCCAGAGAAATCTTCCTGCCTTTAAGATCTGGTGTCTTAAATAACCAGACTGTAAACTATCAGGTGAATTTGCAGCTTGATCTTGTAAATGACAAAATGAGACTCTTTTTTTTTTTTTGAGACAGAGTCTTACTCTGTTGCCCAGGCTGGAGTGCAGTGGTGCACTCTGATTACTGCAACCTCTGCTTCCCAGGTTCAAGTGATTCTCCTGTCTCAGCCTCCCAAGTAGCTGGGACTACAGGCGTGTGCCACCAGACTTGGCTAATTTTTGTGTTTTTAGTGGAAACAGGATTTCAGCATGTTGGCCAGGCTGGTGTTGAACTCCTGACCTCAGAGACTTTATAAGTAGATCAAATGCACAGTGAGTGACATTCATGACAGTCAACAAATACAGTTTTCTGAGCTGGCTGATTTTGGCCTTACTTTGTAAAAACTGCCTTAACGTAGCAATTGATCATGAAGAAAATATGTATGCTCAAAAATACATACGGTCATTACACGACACGTAAAGAATATCTCAAATAGGGTTTTCTGCTATGAATAGTGTTTCACAGGATGGGGCCCATGGGCCATGTTCATCAGAATCACATCCAGCTCAGTCTTTAGCAGGGGATCCATTGTATTGAGGAGGTCCTCAGAAAAGGAAGAGGCTCTCCCAGGACATGGAGATGTGGAGCAGTCTGGTGTGCTTGTGAGCTGCACACTGCATCAGGTGACTTGAACACAATCATAAAGTGGGTTCTGAGGAGGGCACTGGACACCTGTGACTTTGGCCAGGTGTGTCTGCACATGATGGGTTGTAGGAGGAAGCTGCTGTGCTGATGAGCGAGTCTTTGCATACTGGGCAGTCTTCAACTTTGCCAGATATCACCTAAAAAACAAGGTTGGCAGGGCAGGAAGGGGCTGACACCAGGAGGGTACACTAAGTGCGGATCCCCAAGGCTTTGGTTCTGTCTTGAAGGGAATAGGGTGCCGTGGAAGGACACAAGCAGTCCTGGTCAAAGCGGCATTTATTGCTGTCTTTATTCAAGTGACATGTGACACAGGGCTTTCTACCCATGCTCCCTGAGCAACTCCGTCACTAAACTCTGCATACATCACTCCACCTTCTTTTTCATCGGGACAGCCTCAAATCCTGACGCTGGAGGGAACTGGTAGAACAAGTTCTGGCATCAGACGGCCTGAGTGTGTAACTGGGCCCCGTTACTTATTAGCTGTGTGACTATGGGCAAGTTGCTTCCGTCTTGGAGTCTTAGATTCCTCATCTATGAAATGGATTGATAATACCTACCTCTGGGAATAAACTAGCTAACAGACGAAAGCCCTGAGCACAGTCCCCAGCATGCAACAAGTACTTTTAACAGGGTGGCAATCACTGGATGCCAGTGTCTTACTGTGAGCCGTAGGTAATAGCTCCTCCAGGTACAAGCCTTGGGACGGAAGCAGCTGAGAGCCTTTCTACCTGGCCCTGCTCCTCCCTGGATTCTACCCTGGGCATGATCTCTGAGTATCGTTTGGCTGTTTGTCTTACAGGCGTCATCCCTGAAGTGTATCGCTTAGTTCAAGTTTTGGAATCTTTTCACAGCCACCATGAACACCTCTTACCTCCTGGCCTTGCTGCTTACAGGGTCCCCACAGGGTGACAACAGAAGCAAGCCCCTGGACGTCCTATACAACTTCTCTGACCATTGCCAGGATTCCGTGGATGTGATGGTCTTCATCGTGACTTCCTACAGCATTGAGACCATCGTGGGGGTCCTGGGCAACCTCTGCCTGATGTGTGTGACTGTGAGGCAGAAGGAGAAGGCCAACGTGACCAACCTGCTCATTGCCAATCTGGCCTTCTCCGACTTCCTCATGTGCCTCCTATGCCAGCCTCTGACCGCCATCTACACCATCATGGACTACTGGATCTTCGGAGAGACCCTCTGCAAGATATCGGCCTTTATCCAGTGCATGTCGGTGACGGTCTCCATCCTCTCCCTCGTCCTCGTGGCCCTGGAGCGGCATCAGCTCATCATCAACCCAACAGGCTGGAAGCCCAGCATCTCGCAGGCCTACCTGGGGATTGTGCTCATCTGGGTCGTTGCCTGCGTCCTCTCCCTGCCCTTCCTGGCCAACAGCATCCTGGAGGATGTCTTCCACAGGAACCACTCCAAGGCTCTGGAGTTCCTGGCGGATAAGGTGGTCTGTACCGAGTCCTGGCCACTGGCTCACCACCGCACCATCTACACCACCTTCCTGCTCCTCTTCCAGTACTGCCTCCCACTGGCCTTCATCCTGGTCTGCTATGCACGCATCTACCAGCGCCTGCAGAGGCAGGGGCGTGTGTTCCACAAGGGCACCTACAGCTTGCGAGCTGGGCAGATGAAGCGGGTGAATGGGGTGCTGGTGGCGATGGTGGTGGCCTTTGCCGTGCTCTGGCTGCCTCTGCATGTGTTCAACAGCCTGGAGGACTGGCACCATGAGGCCATCCCCATCTGCCATGGCAACCTCATCTTCTTGGTGTGCCACTTGCTTGCCATGGCCTCCACCTGCGTCAACCCATTCATCTATGGCTTCCTCAACACCAACTTCAAGAAGGAGATTAAGGCTCTGGTGCTGACTTGCCAGCAGAGCGCCCCCACAGAGGAGTTGGAGCATCTTCCTCTGTCCACAGTGCACACGGAAGTCTCCAAAGGGTCCCTGAGGCTAAGTGGCAGGTCCAACCCCATTTAACCAGGTCTGGGGCTTCTCCCTGCCCTGTCCCTTGCCTTTCACTTAGCTAAGTGGGAACACTGCAAGCTGGGGTGGCACCCAGCATTCCTGGCTTTCTGTGGCCTAGATAGGCTGGCAAGAGCCATTTTTGCATCCATTCATATCATAAGGACTGGCATTCTGATGCTTCAGCTGTTTGTTCCTGGGAGAATTCTAAGCACAGATTCCAGAGGTCACAGTAAGCCTTGCAGCTTGAGTTGAAAGATGCCAGAGCTGGAGATGTCTGCTGGTAGCAGGCAGGGTTCATTCTGGTGACACAGAAACAGATGCCTGGCCTGGGAACCCAGGGATTTCACCTCCACCAGTGAGACCACGGGCCACTGTGAGGGGAGGGAAGGTGCGCTTGGAGTCAGAGCTTTGGACCTTGGTCAACTCCTTGCCTCTGTGAGAGATGGTGTTTCAGAAGTGGTAAAGAATTCTGCATATGCAAAGCAGTGGGATTACTGTCATATCGCTAGAGCATCCAGCTGAAGAGAACGGATCCGCTAGTCTTGGGTCACAGCCTTCTGCAGCGGGAACTCTAGGACTCACTTCCTACTCCATCCCTTTTCTCTATCACTGTGTCTTCCATCTTACATGGAAATCAGCCTGCAAGTTCCTCTCCTCGATGAGATGTGAGCACCTTGCAGGGGAAATCCATATCATCATGGAGCTTATGTCCTACATGCCATGAACAGGCCCTGACACAGGGAGAGAGCTCCAGGGGGGTTTCCCATGGTGGGTTGATGGTCAAGGTGCCATTCACTGCTGAATGTTTGGTGCTGGACAGGAGTCCAGAATGGGAAGGGGCCAGGGCTTAGGCTGCTATAGCCACAGTCTCCTGCCTGCCCTTCCTCGCCTCTCAGGACCTCATTTGATATGGCAGCTGGACTGAGACTCTGTGGCTCTCCCCACTGTTGACCCACTACAGAGGCCTCCAGAATTCAAGGCCAAGGCTGCAGCCTCCTTCACTCCATGTTCTGACCACTGAGCTGACTTGCCCCAGATAATGTGCCACGAATCTTCCAAAGCTTGCCCAGGATATTGGACATCCCAGTGGCCTTCAGTAGGATCAGGGCAGGGAGTCCTGGGAGTCTGACTTCAGGGGGCACTGGCTGAAAAAAGCAGGGGTCCCCTTCCTCCAGCCAGCCAGGATAAAAAGAGAAGGGGCTCCAATGAGTGTGAATATCTTACTTTGGGGGTTATGGCCCAGTCCTCTGGATGCTGAACCAGGCCCAAGGCATCATCTGTGTGTGGACCAGACAGCCTGTCCTTGCAGGGAAGGAAAGGTCAAGACTGCTCCTGGGCTGCCTTGGATGGGATGTCTCTGCATGGCTCTGTTGGCTCAGACTTACCCTCCAGCAGAATGGACAGTGGCTGGCCAACTATGTCTTCCCAGGGCAGGGTGTTCATGTGCTGTCCTGAGGGGCTTCATTGTGAGGTGGCATTGGTTCTGCACAGGGGGTCTGGCACAGGGCTCTCACCCCTGACCAAGAACCCGTGTAGCTGACACCAAGACAAGTGCTCTTTGAGCCAGCAGCTCCCTTCCTGGAGCTGTTTAGCTTATCCCTTCTTTTGGTCACATTTCCTATTCAGTTCCTTTGTTCATTTTTGTGTTGGATTTTGGGCAGATTTCTTGAGCCACGCTCTTGGATACAGTTTGTGCTTGTTCTGTGGTGCCATCTGCTGCTGGTTGCTCCAGGTGACCACCTGCCCAAAATAGATGGGTCCCGGAGCAAAGCCCAGGCTCTGGGACCCATCTATTTTGTAAAAAGTCCACATGTGCAAAGCAATCCCCAAATGCCAGAGGAGCCAAGAGACTAAAGAAGGGAGCAGACAAACCCAGTTTGTTAGTATTGGGTGATTTTTAAAATTTATTTTCGAGACAGAGTGTCGCTCTGTCACTCAGGCTAGAGTGCAGTGGCACGATCTCGGCTCACTGCAAATTCCACCTCCCAGGTTCAAGCGATTCTCCAGCCTCAGCCTCCTGAGTAGCTGAGACTACAGGTGCTCACCACTGCATCCGGCTAATTTTTGTATTTTTAGTAGAGATGGGGTTTCACCATGTTGGCCAGGCTGGTCTTGAACTCCTGACCTCAGGTGAACCACCCACCTCAGCCTACCGAAGTGCTGGGATTACAGGTGTGAGCCACTGCACCCAGCCAGTATTGGGTGATTTATTGAGGGAACTTACAGGCAGCAGGGTGGTCTTGGGTCTTCACTGTTACTCTCGGACCCAAGGCTTATATACCATAGAAAAGGAGCTATGCGCTCCAGCAAGATAATGAATGGCAGCATGCCACAGAAGCCAAGAATCCCATGTGGACCATAACCCAGAATTTGCACGATAACATCAAGCTTGCCTTGATCTAAAAGCAGGAGTACATATTCTTATACTCGGGACGGTAAATAAAGTAGGAGTCAGGAGGCATTCGTGGGACTGGGGCTAATCAGCAGACAACATGGCAAATCCATCTTGGGATGGAGTCACTTTCATCTTTACCTCATTCCAGAAAGATGTCATTGTCCAAGCTTCCCAAGGAATTGGGGGCCGCAGGCCCCTCTGGATCCCATTCCATACAAGTGCCTGGAGCTGCTTCTTATTAGTCTCAATGACGCTAAGAAGCTGGCGACAAAGATGATTTCAGGTGCAGACATGCCTGAGGATGGAGGGCCAGGCCAGGCATCTGGGGAAGGTGCTTGGTGCTAGGCATTGGGTAGAAGCCTCATTGAGTGTCATCTATGCCCCAGCATCACCTGGAGCTTGTAGGTATGTAGAGTCCTTGTTGCCAGCCCAGCTCGATTTAATCTGAATCCATTTTATCAGGATCCCAGGTTGATTGATGCACATTGAAGTTTGAGAAGCTCTGCTCTAAGAAACGGATTGCCCTGGAGCCTAGAGGAATCACTGGATAAGCAGCTGTAGACACCCATCCTAGTTCTGGAAACATCTCTAAAATTGTTATTGCTGAAAGGTGCATTCAATTTTGGTTGCCTGTCTCATCTCTGGCTGCATGTGATCATATTTCTTGTGAGACCTTTGTATTTTTTTGATAAATATTTGCCATATGCATAGTTTCCATAGATAGGTTCATAGTGAACATGCCTTTTTGTATTCTTCTCTATTTCACTTAAAACTGTATCAACAGTTTTTTTTTAATCTTGCTAGATATCATTTTTTTTTTGAGGTGGAGTTTCACTCTTGCCAAGGCTGAAGTGCAAGGGCGCGATCTCAGCTCACCGCTACCTCTGCCTCCCAGGTTCAAGCAATTCTCCTGTCTCAGCCTCCTGAGTAGCTGGGATTACAGGCACCTGCCACCATGCCTAGCTAATTTTTTTTTTTTTTTTGTATTTTTAGTAGAAATAAGGTTTCACTATTGGCCAGGCTGGTCTCAAACTCCTGACCTCAGATGATCTGCCCACCTCCACCTCCTAAAGTGCTGTGATTATAGGTGTGAGCCACTGTACCTAGCCTAAATATAATTTTTGATGACTGCTTATGAGTGTAGAAACTGCCCCCATGAAAGCCAGCACTTCTCAATACCTCTGGCTCCCGGGATGTTGGGGGTGGGGGCAGCTCCAGCCAGCAAGTGGACCCTCTACTACTCATTGTGAGAGGAACCCATCTTACAGAGGAGGATCATGACTGGAATTGGAGATTCACGCCACAAAGACTGACTGGGAACCCCCAGAGGGTGCAAAACCTTATCACATCCTGGCTGTGAGTACTAAAATCCTGCCTAATGCTAGTCTTTCCTTTCTAAAGTATTGGCCTGGCCTTTTTTTTTTTTTTCATTATAAATGTAATCCTATTCATTCTGAAAGATATACAATATACACAAAAATAAAATGAAAGAAAATGATCAGGAGTTTCAGCACTCAAACATAATCACTGTTTACATTTCAGGGAATCATTTTAAAAGTTTTTATATGCATAGTCATATATACATATGTCTGTTTTTTAAAAAAATGTTTGCGATCATAGTGTATCCATATGGGTACTTATATATTATCTTTAAGGATTGTTTTATATCTTTTTTGTTTAACCTGATAGGAATTTTTATTCACTTGTTTATTCATTAAACAAATATGTCCTACATCACGTTAGCTGCGGGGATGCAGTGGAGAGTAATCAGGCATTGTCCCTGTTCTATGGAATTTAGAGTCCACTGACAGATATATCCTTTATCCTTAATCATCATCTGTTATGGCATTCTGAGCTGTTTCTAGACCTGTTGCATAGATTTTATCATGAACATCTATGCAAAGAACCTTTTCTATATTTAGAATTATTTCCTTAGGAGAGATTTCCAGAGGTGGAATTAACAAGGGGCATGGACATTTCAACAGGCTCTTGATGTGTACTGCAAAATTGATTTCCAAAAAAGGGCTGGAGCAATTTGTACTCCTTGAAGAGTGCTCATTTCACCATACCCTGGCAACTGTTGGGGATTTACCACTAACCAAAAGACTTTGACCTGAATTGCCTGGACTGGAGGGTGTCCCCACTCCTGCCTCCCGGTCCAGCAAGCACTGGGGGCACTGACCTTTGTAATGTTAGCTTGACCCTGTCCCTCTGTGAAACCTTTGGGGGCTCCACACAGCCTTTAGGGTTGCAGGACCACATGACTTACCCAAACAGGGATGCCTGAGTATGAAAGGGGCTGCATGAATAATCACACCGGGACAACAGGCAAAATCACCCTGGGAAATGGGAACATGAGGTCATCCTACTATAAATAAACCTTATCCCTTTAACATAGCTTGAATTCAACCCTCTCCACCATCTGGCCCCAACTTACCTTTCCAATCTCTTTGCATCCTGACATATCACATGATCCAGTCATAGTGGGCTTACAATTACCAACCATGTGTTGGATGTCATTGTCTCTGTACATCTGCTCCTGCCATTCCCTCCTCCTGCCTCCACCCCCTCCACCCCCCGCCAGGCTGCAGTGCCCCCTTGCCCTTCTGTGTAGGTCCAAATCCTACCCCTGCTTCAAAACACACATTAAATAGTACCATTCAATACTGCTTTCATTCAACAAACACTTACTGACTGCTTATGATGTGTGAGGCACATAGGGCACAAAACCAAAAACATCCTGCCTCCTGCGGAACTTTAATTTGTGTGTGCAACTGTGACAAATGGTCCTAAATACGGACACAAAGTGATGTGTCTGAGTCTGCCCTGTTATGATTTTGAATAGAAACACCCACCACCCCACAAGGTTGTGAGCTCCTCGAGGGCAAAATCCAAAAGGCTCATCCTCCACCCCTGCAGAAGCTCTGACACACCCTTGGATAGAGCAGGCACTCAAGCATTTGCCAAGTGAAGAATTAATACTAAAAATGCTTACCCATTCAGTCTGCAAGAGTTTTCTAACAACCAACTTGGGATCCTCCATGAATCTGAGATAAAGGGAAGCCTAAGTTTCCACATACCTTAGAGAAACACCCCCAGGCCACTGCGACTCTTGTTCCACCCTGATGCTGGAAGAAACTGAAGTCACAGATTCACTGATTGCTGCTTCTCGTGAGGTTAAGTGACTCATCCAAGGTCACACAGCTAGTGACTGAGCCACTGGAGGGGTCAGGAGGTGACACAGGAAAGACTCAGAATTGCATGAGTGGATAAGTCACCAAAGGAGTCACTGGAGCGGAGGGGCCTGGAGGGGGACGTGACCCTGGGACCTCGAATGGCCAGAGAAGAACAAACAAGCTAATAGCCCCAAGGACCTCAATTGTTCCCAGATCCCATTCGCTGTCATCTGAAGACTATTACTTTCACTCTGTCAGTGTTCTCTACTCCTTTTTGCACAAAACTCCTCCAGAGCCTTGTCTAATCTTTTTTTTCTCTCTCTCTCTTTTTTTGTTCTTTTAGAGACAGGGTCTTGCTCTGCCACCCAGGCTGGAGCACAGTGGCACAATCATAGCCCGCTGCAACCTCGAACTCCTGGGCTCAAGTGATCCTCTCACCTCAGCCTCCCGAGTAGCTAGGACGACAGGTGCATACCACCATGTCCAGCTAATTAAAAAATTAATATATATATAATTTTGGTAGAGACTGGGTCTTTCTACATTGCCCAGGCTGGTTTTTCTTTTTTTTTTTTTTCCTTTTTTTTGTGTGTGTGTAGAGACGAGGTCTCTCTCTGTTGCCTAGGCTGGTCTTGAACTCCTGGCCTCAAGTGATCCTTTTGTCTCGGCCTCCCAAAGTGCTGGGATTGGCATGGTATACTGTCCCTGGCCCTCTGTCTAATCTTGAAACTTCCATTTCCTCTCCTCTTATGTGCTCACCAGTCCATTCATACAGTTCTTGCCAAGGTCATCAACGACCTCCATGTTGCCAAATCCTGTGGCCAGTTCTCAGTCTTATCTGAGGTGGTCGTCAGCAGTAATGGGCCACTGGTCACTTCCTTCTCCTTGACAGTCCCGCATGTGGCTTTCTCAGGGAATCATACTCATGGCTTTTCCTGCCTCATTGGGCTCTCCTTCTCCATCTCCTTTCCTGGACTCTTACTGCCCTGACTTTGGGACATTGGCGCATCCCCACATCCCCAAGGAGAGCCCTCTCATTTCCTTGGTGAGCTCACCCAGTCTTCTGGTGCTAAATGCCCCCTAATGTGTCTCCAGTATAGACTTCTCCCTGACCTTCGGATCTGGGTGTCCAGCATGCTTTGTGTATCCTCAACACCTGTCAGCATCTCAAACTTAGCACATTCAAAAGCAAACTCCAGATTTGTCCCCACTACCTCTTTCCTCAGTGTCCCCCTTGTCAGGAAAGGGGAAGTCCTGCTTTTCATTTGCTCGGGCCACAATCTTTGGGATCACCTCCTAGTTATACCCCACATCCAGTCTATCAGTGAGTTCTGTAAGCACTGCCTTCAAACTGTTCTCAGAATGACCACTTCTCACTGCCTCCAGGCTCTGTCCCCGGTTCAAGCCACCGTCCTCCCTACTGAAATCATGGCAGAGGCCTCCTTTCTGGCCTCATTCAACAAGAGCGATCCATTGAAACCTGTCAGATGCCTAGTTCAAAAACTCTGTTCAAAGCCCTCCAGTGGCTTTCCATCATGCTCAAGGAAAATTACATGGTCACAGTCTGCACCTTCCCCTCACCCACCCCTCTTCAGCAGTGTTTGCTTCTCTGCTGTCTTTTGAACAGGCTGAGACCACTTCTGCCTCAGCCTTTTCTACTTCCTACTCTTGCTACTTAGAATTCCACCCCTTGATATCTACTTTCTCCCTTGCTCCCTTCACCTAAAGTGAACCTTTATTACAAGAGTAGTTTCTTGCCTGGGCATGGTGGCTTGTGCCTGTAATCCCAGCATTTTGGGAGGCCAAAGCAGGGGGATCACTTGAGCCCAGGAATTCGAGACCAGTCAAGACAGCATAGTGAAATCCCATCTCTACAAAATTTACAAAAATCAGTTGGGAACGATGGAACAAGCCTGTATTCTGAGCTACTTGGGAGGCTGAGGTGGGAGGACTGACTGAGAGCAGAAGATTGAGGCTACAGTGAGCTGTGACCACACCATTGCACACCAGCCTGGGCAACAGAGTGAAACCTTATCTCAAAAGAAAGAAGAGTAATTTTTTAAGCATCCTGTAAAAATATAACCATCTTCCCTCTCTCTTCCCTCTTCTGCCCACTTTCTGCTGCAGGACTTAGTACCTTGGCTGGTTCCTTGTTGAGGGTCTCCCTCCCTCATTAGAACATGAGCCCCATGGAAGCCAGCACGCAGATGTTTCATTCACTGTCCAGCTCTCAGCAAGAACAGCCATTCATGAGAGGTTCAGAAGAAACATCCATAGTATAAGTGAATTTCCAACTGTTATAGTTCATCTCTGGAGAGCTGCATTGCAACCTCTTTTTTCTTGGAGAGTGGGCATCTTGCTTCTTAGCTGTTTGGTCCCAAGTTTGACAGCCACTGTCTGCTAACTGTGTGACCTGAAGCAGCCCCCTTTGCATCCTGGTTTCTGGTTCCTACTTGTAATAATAAACACTGGCTGCCATGCATTTAGTGCCCCAAACAGTGTGCCAGATGCTTTATATACATTGCCTCCCCTCGATCCTGAGATCAGGTAGATGAAGAAACTGAGGCTTACAGAGGTGAAATCATTTTATCCACATTTTCAATAAGAGCCAGACTTGAAACCCAATCAGTTGTCTTCCAACGTCTATGACTTAGACTGTTGTAGCAGGAAAGACGGTTGGCCAGATGACCTCCAAATGGCCTTGAAGCTCCTGGCTAGAGAGTTTGAGTTTTATGGCAATGGAGAGGCACTGAAGGCTTTTAAGCAGGGGAATGGCATGGTCAGGTTACAATGGAGGAAGAGCAGTCTGTCGGGATTGACCTGCATTATCCAAAAAGCAGAAGCTGAGGCAGAGGTCTATGGACTTTCCCTTTATTATGGAGAAAGATTCCAGGGAACAGAATGAGGAATACGAGGAAGGAGACAGGGAAGGAGGGAGAGCCGAGCTGAAGCTGTGCTACTGAGCTGGCAGCTGATTCCCTGATAGCTCTTACAACCATCTCAGGACAGTTTGAATGGAGAAAGAGCTAAGAACTCATCCATCAGTTCCCGTGTTCCCTTGGCAAAGGTTTGTCCATGGAGCATTACCTCCCCACACTCTGGGGGCGCACAGGAACGCTGAACATACCTGGATGTGAACAGAGCAGCTCCTGCGGAGGTGAGAAAGGTGTTCGGGGTGTGAGGTGAGGTGCCATCAGGTGAGCTCTCTCAGAACTGGTGCCTCGGTGGGTGCTGGACCAAGAGGCCAGTGAGGACACGAGGATCAGAAGCAGAGCATAAACAGCATCTGATCCAGGG